TTTAAATTATTTAGTCATTTTATGCTTTGTTGTGCGTGTATTATTGTGATATCCTTAATTAGGAGTATGAGGTTAGGAGCGAGAGTGAGAGCTGACCTTAGCTGGGGTAATGTGGATCTAGAATAAGGGATAATTTAATAACAAGATTAGGAGCATATGATTATTAATATTATTATTTCAATTATTATTAATTATAATATTAATAGGATTATGGTTATTATTATTGTTATTATTAGTAATATTAATTAAATTAAACGAATTAAAATATGACTAAGAGGGTTTAGAGAGTATTAGTGGGTTTAGACATTTAACACGTGAAAGAGGAAAAAAAAAGACTGAGGAAGGAGAGCTAGGGCAGAAGAACCAGTTTTCTCCATTGTTGTCAAGAAAGAACTCAAATCCAAGGTAAGGGGGAGAATGAATTTCAATATGGGTGACTTAACATGAGAGGGTAATGAGAGGTTCTTTCTCTCGTAGGAATTTTGTCTGTTCTCACCTTTTCGTTTGATTTTCGTGATATTGTGTTTTCCCTGTGATTGCTGTTTTGTTGAATTGATTATTTCAAGATATTGTATGTATGATTCTGGTATGAATATGAAAATTCGTGTGGAAATTCCCTGATTCTGTGATGGAATGTTGTAGTTTAACAAATCTGAAACTAAGAGTTTAACTGTAATCGAAACAAGATCTAATAATTAGAATCTTGACAGAATAGAATATAGGATTCATTGGAATCGATTAAAAAGCTGAGTTTTTGGATGAAGGAGGAGGTAGAATGATAAATCTAAAGGGGAAGCTAGTGAGAATGATGAGATCTGAATTTTTGACAGATCTGCTGGTCATACGCGTATTGAGGGTGTCAATACGTATATAGGGGACTTCCCAAGGGCTATACGTGTAGCAGACGTGCCTTGTCCCCAGTGCCAGCACGGCCATCTGGTGATACGCATATGATACACGTATGAGCCTGGGCAATACGCGTATGGAGGTAATCATACGCGTAAGGGGTGACTCTGATGGGGTTTGGGAGGTAGAAGCCTCTGGTCTTACGCGTAAGGGAGGGCATACGCGTATGACAGCATGCAGTACGTGTATGGGCCATGGTGATACGCGTATGGATAGTCTGGGATGACTTTTCCCCAGTTTTTAGGTTTTCTGTCTAGCGTTCGCTTGGAACGCATTTCTGTTGATTCGGTAGGGTTAATATGACTAAAATGAACCTAGAGATAGGAGTAATGAATTAAAACGGTAAAATGTGGAATGATATGGGTGTGTTCTTAAGGGGTGTGTTTTGATGATTGTGAGCCATGATTATCGAATATGGATAATCTTGTGCGATGGTGGTAATCCCCGAGAGGATTACAGTGAGCGGATGGCTCGTGTAGATCTTGGACGATCGTGAAATTATGCTTGAATTATTCTATTGCATAATTGTGTGGTCATGCATTTCATGTCATGTGTCTTGTGGAGATGGTTAGGTGGAAATCAATGATGGGTGCCTAGTTTCATCCGGACTTCATGTGGAAGTCGTTGTGGAGATAAGTTATAGTTCAAAGGAACGTATACGACTTATCCGGATTTCGATGGGAATCGGGTTCTAGGGTGAACCGTATGTATTTATGTTGGTACCATATGCATTGTGTCGAGTTAGTGAGTCATATTGCATAATTGTAATTAAATATGGGCTATTGATGCCGAGTAATTAATGTGGCACGTGTATATGCGTTATATGTGTATGATTGTATGTGTGGTATGTAACTACTCCTTAGCATGTGTACTTCACCGCTTATTTACTGAATGTAGTTCTCACCCTTTTCTGTTTGTTGTGTCTGTACTCCTTGGGGAGTGCAGATGACCAGGTACCTGAGTAGTGCTTGGAGTGTGTTGCTATTCGATCGAGTCTTAGGAGTCGCTCTGATATGTAACATGGGATGATGGGATTACGTTTAATTGACTTATTTTCTTGATTTATTGTTACGTATCTTATAATTGTTGGATTAATAATGTATAACCACCGGTTGTGGAGATTATATTTAAACATTGATTTTATTCCGCTGTTTAATTGAAAGTTAGATCGCCACTGGTTTATTTGAAATGAAGGAATTGACTTAGTGTGACATCCTACTGATTTTGGAACTCTGATGTATTTTCTATAATATTCCTATAATACGCGTAAGGGGTAAAGTGGGGTGTTACAAGTAGTAGTTAAGTTGTGACAATGTTTCTAGACTGTATATTTGTTCCACTTGGAATATTCTCACAAGCTGTAACTATAAAATGATCTTGCATATGCATTAACATACATGTGTTTGATAAAAGAAGTAGTATCAACAAATTAAAACAAATTAAACAGATAAAAAATAGTCATTTCATAACTATAAGTAGCTAAAACTCTTTGTTTGAGTTCTAAGAATTGAGAATATAAGCTCATGTGCGTATATGCATATAGAACTTTGTAATCATTCATACGTATTGGAGTAATGAGTGAATTCAAATGCTAAAAAAAATTAAGTTTAGCACTCACCTAAGAAGTTAATTGCTCAGATTTGAAACACACAAGAGATTGACTTTTAAAAAGAGAAAAATATATTAAATACTCCATGCCAAATTCTAAATTTTATTTATACCTCAAAATTACATATATAAAATGATGACACGACTAGTGTTAAATTTGAATATACATATCATCATATACTTGATGAAAGGTAGATTAGATTGTGACTTCCCCGACAAAGCTAGAGTGTTCAAGTAGTGTTTTCATGAATAGAAAACTTAGCATGTAATTCATGTGAGGCAACAGAAGAAACAATTATAAATAGACTGTCATTAGTCCAGCAACAAAATATGTACAAAGTGGAAAGATAATTATTAGCAATAACTGATTTGAACAATTATACTGATTTGATTCTCTTTAGAAAAAAAAACTTGACCAAGTAAGTAAAACTAAAACAGTAAGTAAATTAAAGAGAAAAACTAAAGACAAATATCAAAATAAACGATGTACACCAAGGGAAAAAGTTTAAGCAAGCTACAAAATTAATTTTAAAAAAAAGTTAATATAAGCAATTTTAACTTTAAACCTTACCTTTTGCATACACAAAGAAGAATGAGGGAGGATTCATATATTTCCAATTTTTTAAGATGAAATAATAAGTCAAAATATGTCATAAGTTTGAAAATCTAAAAATCAAAGAAAAAAATATATTCAAACCTTAGATAAAAAAAACCCTAAAATTATAAGCTTTTAAATTTAAAATCAAAACCTACCTTAGAGACAAGAGAAAGAAGGAAATATAAATCTTAAAGAGATGAAGGAGCTTTTTTATTAGATAGACTTCGAGATCTGTAACTCGTATCTCGTATTTGAGAGTATGTGATAGAAAGAAAAATCCAATAGTTAAGGTGACCGGTGTCATTGGATGTCGTTACGTGGTTGCGTCTGAGTAGATGAAGGTGGAAAGAGGTTGCATAGTGGTAGTAGGTTTTCTAAGGAGAGATAAGTGATGAGAGAGATAGGAGTGAATGAAAGGGAAAATGTGGTTGCTCGTATAACATAGGTAAGGAAAACCTAAGCAAAACGAAAGGGTTTTGAATATCATGTTACTTGGGCGGGTTCAGGTACCTGTGATTCTATTTATTTTACCCGAACCCGCCCATGATAATCTGGACCAAACCGATTTGTAAACCCTCTAAATTGACGGCCCAAGTGAAACCACCCAAAGTCTTTAATTTTTTTTTTTGTTTTTGGCGGGTTGGGTTGGGCCACGGTTTTCTGTCCACCCCTAGGTATAGGATATGTGAATCATGTGGTGTTATTGCAAAAGGTTCTGCGTGAGGCTTGGTACCATGACAACGACTGTAATTTGGTTGGAAATGTTAACTTTATTAACTTTTTTAATATTATACTTGTATTCTCTTTTTTATCGATGTATGAACATGGGCTTTGAATTTTGATTGGGCTTTTTATGATTTCATGGTTTTTTTATTTTTTTTTGTGGATTTTTGTATGTAAATGGACTATGTAATGCATAATGGGCCTCAAATGATATGTTCTTTTTGTACATTTTTTGTGTGAATTGAGTAGTATTTGTGTAACATTTATTTGAATAATGGGTCTAACCAAAAATGGTGATGGGCATCGAGAATAGTTTGTGAATGAAATTGGGAAATGGATATCAAAGTGGAAAAGATAGTAAAAGATGGATTTATTAGAAAATGGATAACGAATGAATTTAATGGATAACTAAAAAGGTTTTTTTTTATAAATAATATAAAAAGTGAAAGTGGTTTAATTGAGAGAAAAATAAAAAAAAATGGATAGCCATGGATAGGAAATAATGGAAATTGGTAAGAAATAGAAAGTGGAAATGGACATGGACATTGGATGGATAATGAGTTTGGATAAAAAATGGAAAATGGGCGATAGATTTGAATCATGAAAATAAATTCTCAATTTAGATCCACAAATGCACCTCTTGATCGGTCTTAACCAAACACTACACCCCAATAGTGTTTATCATACTCTTTAGATAATCATAGAGCTTAGCTCTGTATTCTAAAAGAGACTCAACCTGGTCACATAGCTTGCTAATATTTGACAAATCTAGTTCACCGATTTCAATTCCCATAGATATCATAATTGCTTCTTTCACTTCTGCCTCAACTCCCTCTGTCAAAATATTTAAGAAATCAAGCTTTGTAGCGTTAATGCAATCACCCATCAGCTTGACATACCTTGCATATTGGATGTTATCCTAAACGATTTTGGTAAGTTATGGAAAAAGCTAACCTTACCATTCTCAGACCCTCATGGCATACGTATTCAACTCTTTATCAAGATCATCAAGTAAACCAATAGCCTGGACGACCAAGGTGTCCACCTTGTCTGCACTAAACTTCAGTTTGTATCTTGATAGACTATGAGAGAAACCCAAGCTCATCAGAGCCATGTCTTGAACAACTATACCTGATATGAGTTCTGTCAATTGATATCGAACACCTCACATTAGTTCCATAATAACATTGTTGTGAACACAGTCGATTTTCAATTTTTCCTTAATGATATTCCCCAGCTTTGAATCAGCTACGACTAATATCTCATGATCAAAATTAGCGTGCAGACCCTTGCTAGCTTTTCCATCAATCAAACAACTATCTACCTCAAGAACTTCTCCTATATTCTCAAACTTAGAAAACACTTTCAACTTGACCACCTTTGTTGCAACACCAGCAGTGGGAAAATCCAGAGATAAATTCAGAACTTCATAAAGCTTTCCTTCATTGAGAAATTTGAAAAGAGCGAAAATTGTCGGTGTTTCAAATAGTACCAACATTTTACCATATTTTGAACTAACTCTTAATGGCTTTGATTTATCCAAAGAAATTTGATGAAGATTCGGCGGTGCAGAAAAGTTGTGTTTTGGCTGCAGAAACCAATAACATGTATGACTATTCTGACGAGTTATTAGTTATCACTTTGAGATTTGGAGGTTTTGGTGGAATCACAAGATCGAATGACTCGCAAGAAGAAGAATGAATCTTCTCCTGTTTTGACGGTGGTAAAATGGTGAATCCACATACTTTCGCAAGCGGCAGCGTCAGTTCCAGTGAGGTTTGTAGATCCGGGGGTTTAGGTGGTGGAAACAGTGTCGGAGCTGAAGATGAAGATGGTGGTTATGGTGATGCTTATGGCGAGTGTGCAGAAGCTGGGAGTATAGTCAGAGACTCGAGTTTTAGTGACAAATCTGGTGGTTTTTGTGGAATAGCAATTTTAACATCACTCTTACCTATTCCTTTGGAATGAGACTCTGCCATATAAACCATATCTATGATTTTACTACAAGGTGTAGATACCATAAAAGAAGGTGAGTAGATATGTGGTTGCTTTGGTTTTAAGATATGAGGTTTTCTTGATGTAAGTCATCGATTTTAGATCCGATTCTATCTCAATAGTTGGAGAAGCTGGTTCTCTGAATTTGTCTTTAATAGATTCCATTGATTCATGTATTGGTACCATTTCCTCGTCTAATTCAAAGAAAGAGTGTTCCATTTGGGTTTAAAATGCCAAAAAAATATTTTTGTGAAAGTATTCCAAGACATAAATGGATGAGGCCGAATCCTCCATAGCCACTGTCATACCCTAATTTAAACCCTAAGATCTCACCTCATTTGCATCTTCACAATGCATCAAGATCACAAACTTGGTTCTGCTTTAGCCCCCTCATCCTTGGGTTTAGTTTTGCAGAGATCACCAAGCACCTTTCTTTTTATCTTTTCATTTGTGTTTATAACCTTTATATTTTACTAACTAAGAATCAAAATATCAAAAAATATGCTTTTTCCCTTTTGTTTCATTACAAAGTAGGGGATTTTTTTATCAAGAACACCAAGCATGATTCATAAGCTAGGGTTTTCCCCCTCAAGGTTGAAGTATGGTCAACCAAATTACCGCGTGTTTTGGACCTAAACATGTTTAACCAAGATGCCTGAAGTTAATTAACTCATAAAACGTATGGTTTGGCTAAGTTTTGAGCTAATACAAGTCACACTTTTTCCATGATGAGGGTGCACACGATTACACTGAATTTCCACTCAATTCACCCCTCTCAGCATTCCATCATCTTCAACTACAAATATAGGATCTTGCTACCTTCATTTCCAAGGTTTTGAGAGCTAGAAAACCATTGCTCCATATTCAAATTTTCTTCAAAAAAGTGAGCTATCGTGTTTTATTTTCCAGCCATTCTTAACTACATTTCTTGATTAAGTTAGGTCCATCGTGTTCCTCTGAAGCTTCTGCAACAAGAATCAAGCCCTAAGAGTCCTTGAATTGCTCCAACCAAATCCAGTTTCATACCTTCTCAGATCATTTTTGGACAAGGTAGTTTGAAGCTCCATTTTCAATCAAACAAGTTATCACAATGTAGTCCTTTGCTTGCTGAAAATGAAGCTTGCAAGGTGATTGAAGGGCCAACGGAGCAGCTCCGTTAGGTAACCTTCTTTGAATTTAAACTCTCATGCTAGGCACTTGTTTAAATCCACCCCCTTTTTGGGAGGCCCAAGCATGCTATGAAGGGAATCAGTTTAATCTGATTTGCTTGTTTCACCCCCCTTCCACTTTGTATTTTATTTTATTTCTTTTTATTTGCATTTCAAATTTAATTATTTTAAAAATACTTCCATATTTCATAAAAATACCCAAAGATCATTTTCTGACTTTTCAAGATGTTATTTAATTTTGCAATATTTCCATTTTGTTTAATATTTTTAATGGAATTAATGATTGGAAGTGTTTTATGGTGCACACCTTGAATTAATCATGACAATTGACCTCCATTTGCAAACCCCCTAGGACCAAACTTTCTCTCCCACTTAGGTGATGGATTAAGGAAGTTTTGAGGGCTGGTTTGAGGTATTCATGATCATTATTCAATTGTTTTCCATTGACTTTTTGTTGACCCTCGATACACACTCGATAAAGTGAAGCACCTTGCCTTCTTGGATTTAATTGGTGGTGCTTTGAGTGAGCTCTTGTCTTGAGATTTTGCTTGCTGTTTTATGATTGATCAATATTGCTTTGGGTATTTTATTTGGCATTTTTTGAGGTTTCCTTCTATTTTTGATGGATTTTTCAAATTCAAGTTGGTTTTATCATGTTTACACATACTAGTCTTGACCTAAACTTTGGGATATGATCATGAGTGATTCCTTGAGCATCTCTTAAGCTTTGTTAGCTCTTGTTAACATGCTTGAGATGTTGTTTTGCTTGCTTAGGGGTCAAATGTGTGTGTAACTTGTATCACAAGTTTTCTTTGAATCATGTCTTTCCACTTGTTTGAAGTGTGAAATAGTTGATTGAACTTTGGTTATTCAATGTGACTTGATCAATCTTGTGATTTCTTTCCATTTTGACTTAGAATTTGGATCATCCCCTTTGTGTTTCACTTCTGCCCTAGTTGATTTTGCACTTGTTCATCATGATTTGGTGTTGTTGAATACACTTTGAGTTTGTCATGAACATTGGTGTTTCTTTTGTTTGCTTGCTTATTTTGTTTTGCTTGATCTTAAAGTAATTGTTGGTTGAGTTGATTATGTGTTGATGGATTCACCACACTCTTTCCTCCCTCACTTCTTGGTTTGCGCTTCTTAGGATAACACCTTTCTCCTTTGATGATTGATGGTAATTGGTTGTAGGAGTTTACTCCTCCCATTTCATCTCATCTTTCTTGACTTGTTTAAGTCATCTCTTGTGTTTGAGTCTCCTTTGTATTTGAGTCTTGTTGCATTGTTGCATATTTGCATTTGTGTTTGCATCTCATCTTGCATTGACTTGTTTAAGTTCTTCATCTCTTTTCATATGTGATTGAATTGCTATGTGTTCACTTGTGCTCTTTTTGCCATTATCCCTTAGGATTCCTAGTCCCTCTGTTTAAGATGGGAGTAGGAGAGACATTAGGCTTTCAATCCTTTGCATGATAACATTAGGTAGTATCCCTTTTCATCCCAACTTTAGGACCATCTTGCATGATAACATTATCGTTGATCAGTTCCCCTTAGAGTCTTGTGTCTTCTTATCTCATAACTTTCTTAACACTTAATAAAGGATAACAATTATTGTACGCTACGAGCCTTAAGTACATGAGGAATGATAAGTGGGGGCCTCCTCTCACATTGTCTAGAGTGTTTAGCGTATGTCCTTTGGGCGATATGCGACGCATTCGCTCTTATGTCATAGTCTTTAGTGCAACATGAGTTACAAACTAACTTAATTCACTTCTTCTCATAAAAAACACAAACAAAGTTCAAACCTTTTCATCCTTCGGGATTGTTTTCAAACCTCATTTTCAGAGAGAGTATGTTGCTTTTCCGTTCTACCGCAAACAGGCATCGTCCCTAACTGCTAGAATGGAAACTTAACATTACTTATAAAAAACACCAACCAGTGCTCTATTTTCCCGAACTACGTTTGCTCTGATTTCTCATACCATATGAGGATACGTAGGCACAAGACGACGATGTCTTGGCAAGCAACTTTCCCCCCATCACCCGTAGTTTCTCGAACTACGTTTGCTCTGATTTCTCATACCAGATGAGGATACGTAGGCACAAGACGGTGATGTCTTGGCGAGCAACCTTCCCTTTTTCACCCGTAGTTTCCCGAACTACGTTGACTATGACTTTCCCATGGCACGAGGGAATACGTAGGCATAGGGCGGCGATGTCCTATCGAGTCTGTTCTTTCTCTTCACCCCCATTTAGCAGTAGCTTTTAGATAGTTTTCACCCATAGATTAGACAACAAGCATGGATCCTGTTGAATACAACAGACGTGGGGGGTGCTCATACCTTACCCTTGCGTAACCGACTCCCGAACCCAAGATTTGGTTGCAATGACCTTGTCTTTCCCTTTCTCTTAGGTTTTCTTCGATCGTTTCCTTTCCCTCTCTTTGGGATAAATAATATTCGGTGGTGACTCTTCTGTCTAGTTTGCCGGCTCTTTTTCGCAATGTGCGACAACTGGCGACTCTACTAGGGATAAGTTCCCTATGCGAGTCAATCCTAGTGCTTGTGTGTTTTATTATTGGGTGTGTATATTTATGTGCATTTTATTGCATTTACATTTTATTTCCTGCACTTCATTATTGTTATTATCTGCTGCTATGTTGTTGGATAGGATTGTTCCATTGAGAGATAAGCCTAATACCCATGCTTGAGTACATACCTAGCATTAGTGTGGATAATAGTGAGGACCTGTATGTTTGGCGTACACTAGTCATCATGAAATTCACGTTCAGACGAGATTTTCTTTGAAGACATCCTTTCCAGTCTGTCTCAGACAGTTGAGAGAATGTTGGATCTGAGAATTGTCTACTCTAGAGACCGATCATTTGGAAGTCAGTTAAGTGAGGCATCTTCGTTTGACCATGATGCCAAACCAGAAATGGTAAATGTATCATAGTTTCTTGAAAGTTTGTGACGCTGACGACCGCATAGGATGTCGAACCTTATCAGATTAGGTCCATACCTGTGAGTGGGAGGGTTATGCAGGAAAATTAACCTCCAACCAACCCGGATTTCTCACCAGTGCAGACCTTTGATCTTTGATACTGTGGGTTCCTGTTGCTTCGGTATTCTGATGTTCTGGTATTTTCTCGCCGAGGCAGAATTGTGGTTCATCTCAGTCAGCAGCACAACAGTCTTAATCCCCTATTGCATCTGCATTTTTCATTTGCATTTTAACATTTGCATGTATTTGTGTTTCAGGTGCATATTTTCCCTTTGATTCTAGTAATCTAATTCACCTCTAGTATGGAGCCTGGTTTTAAGAGGACTAT